CTGAATTTGATAGTTACTAACGAATAAATTATAATGATGTTGCCCGTCCTTCAAAACCCACATCAGGTGCAGAAAAGAAAACAATCCACTAACTTAATATGTTTCGTTTTATTTACTAACTACTGGTCATTAAAAATTGTATCAATATAAGAATAAAATGAAATCTCGAGTCTCTTTTCTCTCATTATATTAATATTGTTATGGTCGAACAGTATTTCTTTATACATTCACTGTACTTAATCAGCTTACACAATGAACAGATCGTGTTGGCCTCTTGGGAATTCATCAACCCCACAGTTGAGAAGGTAACAGCTATAAAAAAAATAAATCAGCATTACTTATATGGAACCACAGACATCAGCTGTATGAAAATTGGAATGGTGGAAATTGATACTATTAGTTACACATTAAACTTTTACAAAAACCTCTTTCCAATTCCTTTAAGTATCAATGCACATTTCCTTTGATAGATATATAGCTTGCTATAGTAATTTTATTTCCTTTTTAAACTAAAACATTAGACAAATATTATCCTGATACTTACTTTCACTGTTGACATAATTCATGATCAACATAGTGCAGATAAAGATATACAAGCATACTCCAGATTTCATCTTTTCTCGAAGGTTGTTGATCTCCTAGTAACTGGATAGCCCTTTGTTTTATTTTAACTTTACTATAATTTTATAGGTATAATTCCATAATGACAGTATCTTATTATGTGGTCATGGGTTTCTTTCCTGTGTATTTCCCAAAACTTACGCAATAATGATATCAGCTATGATAAAATGCAGTTTTTTGTACATCCTGCTCCGACGTATAGATGACAAAGGCCTATAGTAGCTATTTATAATCTTAGTGGGTGGTAGACATAAGACGACTGACTCAAACATTCTAAGAAAAGTTAATATTATCGAAATTCTCAGAAATATCACCAATTAAAATGTCCAATTTTGGCTTCATCATTGTCAATGGTTTTCGAAGTTGTACTAAATGATTTTCTGTAAGATTTCTAAAATGTCTGTCCTTTGATTAGTCAGAAAACGAACTGTAAATGTGAAAAATGTGATAAAGGAACGTTTCGAATACATTTATCAGGCTCGTAGGTATGATAAAATTGACTGATAATAGCAACTAAGGACAACTGAATGGAATCGATCACTCAGATTGATGTCAAATTCGATCTTCAATAGAAAGAGCAACTTCAGTTTTTCAAGTATATTATTTTCAAAGATTGATCAGATGCCTACAGATGCTGTCAGTCGTTGGAAATACAGTTGCTCTCATGCAAGTCGTATATTGACAATTCCGAACAAAGAGTGGTATCAGTTATGCCGTTATACTGTTCCAGCAATACCCGTCATATGATATATTGTAGAGATTGATAGCATAATATGCATTTTAGGCCGCCTAAAAGGCGACTATCGGAATTAATAACAGCAATGGCCAGAAAACAATAAAATGATTTATTTAACGTTTATTCAATCAATAAATATGTTTCAGTATTAATATTATACCACAGGCGGAACACATTCTTTACTGGAGCTAATGATGATCGTTTCTTTTTTAACCAATTTGTCAGGTACAATATTTTTTCTTACATTCTGTGTCTTGTATTAGTGAACACAGTAGGCAGATGAGATTCGCCTTTTGAGAATGTTGTTGTCCAATTTTTTTATAGTGAGCTCCAACTGTAAATAATGAAACAACAAGTGATGAATAAAACAAGATTCCTCTCATATTTTCGCATTAATATCATGGATCTATTACATATTATGAATGTAAAAACTATCGAATGAGATTCCACTTTTGATCGAAGTTTTTAGAATGAATGAATGATTGTGGTATTTACTACAAGAGAAGTTTTTCCAAGAACGGTAATTAATTGTATTGATGATGAAGAAGCCAAAACTTATACTTTCGATTTCACGACTGATAACTTTCCCTTAATGGCAGGTAACCAACATTGTTGGACAAGACATGACCCTGTCCCACAGTATATATGAAAATATATGAAATTCTTACGTCCATTTGCCACTACGTGGATCGACTTCATGACCAGGGTAAAAAATATCAACATTAATAAAAATTCTCGAGATTTCATCTTTTTTTTTAAACCTAGTAAATTTACAAGCTGGATATCCAAACTATGACTAGGTATGTACTGTTATTCTTAACGATATATATTGACGTGGTATTTCTTCATATCCTGAAATCGTTCCGTCGGAAATATATATTAAGAAATCGGCTATCAAAACAATCAAAACAGTGAATGAGTATAATTAAATGATAAGTCATGGTCTAATAGCTTACAATACGTTAGAAATTCCGCAATCGTGTTTCAATTCAACTGAAGATACAAGTATTATATAGATACAGAAATGTAGATTATCTCTCGAAAACAAATGGAAACCCTAACTAACATTACGGCCAAACAATAAACAGTAAATGCAATGTATCGAAGTACAACACAATACAACAGAAGAGAACTTTTTATGCTTATAAAAATCTGAAGTACTTTTGATTAAATAATGGAAGTAAATTCATGTAAGAAATGACATACATATCCTCAACAAAACCAGTGTCGTAAATTAAAGTTTTAGCTATGAAATGGACAGTAAGTAATTCAGGTGGGGGTCTGGTTTCGCTTAGGAAATCCGAAGCAGAGAATTTTATGGTAAAATTGACATTTGCACATTTAATCACAATTGACAGACTAGGTTTTGCAAGTGAATAAATACCAATTCTATCACAAGAACCAGTATAATATTGTTTGATTGGTAAATCTTTTTATCTAGTATAGTCTAAACGGTGTCTTTGCGTGGGGTGGGGTCTGATTGCCTCAAACAATATTGTGTTTCTGAAGATGATTGTGTTCTTTTCAGATACAATGCATTATAAACGTCAGTAACTCTTGTGGTTTGTCAATTGGCGGCAAGAACTTTTAAAAGCTGAAATGTTTTAAATATAGATGGGGATGAAACAGGGTACAGAATAACAGGTTTAATGAATTGACATAAAGTTAAATAAATTGATAATTTGTTCAACGATGGTTACAAACTCAACCATTCCAATATAAACTCAGTACATATCAAGTTCTGGTTGATTTCAATTAATAGGTCAACAGAGAGTTCTCAAGTGTCTTACTGTGTGATTCATTAGTTAGTAATGGTCAATCGCGTCTACCTGGTATTTTAGGCAACCTAATCATTTGCCTCAATTGGCACTGATTTAATTATTAAACTACTTTAAGTCATTATACTCCCAGTGAGTTCTACTAAGTAATTTCTTGGCCTGTATTTTTTACCTGGATATATATTAATTAATGTTATTTTGAAAATTAACCAGGAGATTGACCTAAAATATCTCGAAACTTGAGAAATCTGAAAGAAACATATATTTGATTAAAGAGCTCAATTGCTGAAAGGTTTAATTTGTTCGCAATGTGGAGAATATGTAAAAGAAAGGTTGGAAAAAATACGGTGCAAGCCAATTGACTGGTGCACTGCTTTCCACTGGCACGAGACTATATAATTGTATAGGATAAAATATAACACAAACACTCAACAAACAATTGCACCTGATAGTGTCCACTGAGTTATCTGCATTGTTTATGATTCCAAACGTTCTCGCGAAGAGACGTTTTATGGCAAAGGGGTACAACTTGTATCTACAAACGTGGTTAATTCAGTAGGCGACCATTGAGCTATGTACTATCTAAATATTGTAGAGTTTCCCGGGATGTTAGATATTATATCTCTCGGATTTAAAGGGGATTTATATAAAACAACCTGCCGGATCTAAGAAAAGGGCACTGAAAGAATTGTAACGTTGTATGCGTTACGACACTGAGAGCATCGATTTGCATAAATTTTCAGTTTGGATTGTGCAATTCCTCTAAAACCTAGCGTTATATACGGTTGGGCATGTCTATAATAACAATACCCTCAGACATCAAGCGGAAAATTGGAAAGATGCAAGTAAATGTTATAAATGCCTATATAAAAAAAGCTAAAGACTCCCATAAAAAAACCTTTTTAATTAAAATGATTTAAACAATATTTATTTATGCAAAAGTTAACAAATAAGATACATAAAATATATATAAATTGGATTCGGAAAAAAGAACACAGCTTAAGTGAATCCGTCTCCATATATAAAAGATACAACTATTGATACAAAAAAAACCCAATAAGTACTTAACTAAAATTTAAAAGATTAAGAAAAAAAAGGTGTGTTGGAAGAAAGAAAAGACAAAAGGTAGATAAAATGCAGACTTGACACAGTATATACAAAAGAATAGAATATTATTATATAATGTTGGAGGGTGGAAAGGGGATTTATGTGTGAATATTCTGGGATGAGGGAATTCTTGTAAAAGAGAGAGACAGAAAGTCCGAGATTCGATCACTGTCATTTGTTCGGAGTCCACTTAATAAACAGGCCATTTAATCAAAATCTTAATAAACGTGAAGTTGATTTTATAACGATTTCAGCACATTTGTATAGACTACTCAAAATTACAGATAGAATAGAAATAGTTCAAGGGAGACAGGTAGGGAATATTAGTTTCCATCCTATTTCAGTCCATAAATAAGTTTCCAACTGGATACTTGAAAATATACAGTAAAAACCAATCAAAACTTCTTCATTTAAGACACATTTCAGTCTCAATAGAAATTTGAAACAACTTTGATCTTCATAAATTTATAAATTATTACAACAGATTTATTTTTAGCTCAATTGGGATAAAAGACACCGAAATCCTAATCTAAAATGACAATAGACAAATGTTGTGCACTTGAGTTTTGATTAACTGATTTTGAGTAACTTTAATTCCTAAAGCGTGAGATAATATTAATTGTCTGTACTCATTTTTAAATGCATATTGTCGCTATGGCTTCATTTCGTATAAAACACATCAAATTCTGATCGATGGTACATTCGGACTGTGATATTATACGCCAGTGTAACTCTCTGTTATTCGATACGGATATAATATGTCTAAGTTTGTAAGGAAAACTTCGAATCAAGGTAAGATTGAATATATTGTATTTCTCGTCCCTGTTAAGTCAGAGGTAATTCAAATGTCCAGACAGTTTGATGTTAAGAAACCTCTAGACCACAAATTTCAAATTAGAATTAAAAAATAATGCAATTATTTTTCATTGGAAATCTTGTGCAATAATACTTGTATACGCATAATAAACCAACCAGTTTCCACATTTACATTTCAACGGACATAGCCAAAAGGGCCCATTCCACCAATTCAAATTCAGCCTTCTATAATATAACCATTTTAACAGCAGCGTCGAAATTAACTCTATTAAGCGTTACTAATGCGTCAAATTTTCAATATATCTTGACTATGAAATTAAGTATTTAGCCCCGGTACCAAAATCTGAAAGTAAATCCAATTATATCAGAACATAGTCGCGTGGAAAGGGGAAGCAAATACAAAAGGCTACCATATTACTACTACGGAGACCTACATCATCAGAATGTTTTATATTGGACTTTGGTTTATATTATGCTTGATATGATTGAAAAAAAAAACGATTTAAAATTCACACAGGAGCTCATGTGTTTTCAATGGCCCAAACATCATCTGTACTATTGATCGTCTGTGGTTTAAATTTTCCAAAAACAAAGATAACAAAATTGGAATATATGATTAAACTTGTCTAATCAACGAGCGCTAAGACATTTCGAGTGGCCTTCCAAGATTTGTCTGAGGTTTACACCTTCAAAATTTCTTGTTTAAATCTGGATAATGCCAAACAGCTGTGGGGAAACGATATACACCGACCGAATTATGTTACACGCCTATAGACACTGGAACGGCTAACGCTATAGCAACTCTCAGAGACTCTCAAATGGAAAGGGTACTGACCTTTCCCCCGCAAAGACTCCAACATGGGCATCCAGTCCCGTTTAAGTTTAACCGTATAAACTACATTAGTCTGTAATAGGCATGACAGCATTTCAACCCAAGTTACAGCATAAAATTAGCCTTTTGTACTTCGTTAGATGAAATAGTTATATTATAACCCAGCATTATCGTCTCTTACAGCTACAAGATATGCTCTAATAGCCTTTAAAGACATCCTATCAACAAAAGTGTGCTCTGTGGATGATGTAACTGGACCAAAAATTAAATGTGTCGGTGCAACAGTGAAAGTTATTTGCAATGGTTTGATACAGAAGGGAACAATCGTTACCATATCAGGTATGCAACAATTATGTTAAACCAGCACATAGAGATAATGCACAATCACCATGAGAAATATGTCAACCCGAATTTTTTATATGAATTAGATACAAAGTACTATGTTCACATTTCTTAAATTTCAGATAATCGGGAGTCTTTGGTAAAACAATGTGAATACTTTAATGTTAGAAAGTACTTTGGTCTTTCTACAAGGACCAAGTCCGTCCAAGGTAAGAATTTCATGGAAAATAACTGGCAATCTGAGAAATAGATAAAAGCAATGGTTTGACTCCCTTTTCAGTATTGTAAATTAAGTTATTTTTTTCTTGTATGATGTCTGCCACGATAATTGTAAGCTTGGACTAGCCATATTTTATTACAGTATGTTTTTCGATATTTGGGAAATGTTTGATATTGTAATGATTCGAGTGACTGTAAACGAACTATTTCCATGGTTTCTGTAGTAAATCGATTTTTTTTCTGTCATGTCAGGTACAAATTTTGTTAAGAAGGAGACCAAGCTAAGTCAAAGATCATATTCGGTAGCAGGTCCAATAACATGGAGGGTAAGTTGTCAGTTTGCCATTTTTAAAATAATAAAATTTTATCGACACTTGACAATATCTTGTTAACGAATTTTAATAGTTATTGTATCATAAATGCATCACTAATTGATTCGATTTATGAACAATTGCTTGCGAGATTCAGCCTCTTATATGTTCGTAAAGCATGTGGCACAATGTGTATGGATTGTCCTGGCTAGTGCAGGTATATGCTTCTGAGCCCATTTACCGAAACCTGTTACAAGCTTACATTCTTAATTAGCAAAAAACTTATACAACCAATTGTTAATTTCAGAGTGTCAAGAAAGTAAACAGCACTCCAATTTCTACTCGACGTTCGGTATGTTATAATCGACCACTACCATCACCTATAGTTAATCCCAAAAATCCTTTCGAGTTTCCCGATATACCATCACCCAACCGCCATAAAAATAGATCAAAGTCTTCTTCTAAACCGACTACTACCGGATCATCGACACGTCTCAGGCAACGCCTCATCACCGATTACTTTTCCGTTATAACCCGAACAAGTTCCTCAGATAAAACGCTAAACATTGAAGATGCAATGGATGAGCTTGATGAAACCAACCTTTCAGATGTTTTTGAAGAAGACCATGACAACAAATCGTTAATTTTGGTTAATAATTTAGATAACCTCTTTGACATGATACCAGAATCTTTAGTTGCTAAGAATCTCCGAGAGGAATTTGACGACACTTCTAATTCCACTGCATCCAGTTACATTACACACAATCAGGGTATCTGTTTTGCCAGAGACGTTATCCTAAATAATGCAACACGTAATGCTAATGTCATGAAATATCTTGATTTACAACAATCAGCTACGAAACGTACCACAGACTCACAAGACCCAGAAACATCTATAGCTTCTACAGCTAGAACCACTACCACCATTCCAACAGATGCACCTAAACTCACCGTTTCTGAAACTTCAACCTTTCGGACGTCCGTAAATACCATTGGAAAACCATCAACTCACACGTTTCCACCATCAAGATTACCTGGTTCTACTGGAGATATCTATGAAGAGTTGACTCCTATGGAGTTATTTCGTAGTTTAATGTGGAAATGTGATTACAGCAAACTCCATACCAATTTGATTACCGAAGATGTACTACAATATATTAAACTTCGATCAAAAACACCAGAAATATTTGCCAGAAATTTGATGTACAGATTATTTACTATTCAAGAATTGAAAGGATGTAATGTATATGGTAAAGGCTATATAAATGGTATTAGAAATGGTCATCTCAACCCAGACATAGTTAAAATTATCTACCGGCTTACCTACAGAATGTTTCCCTTCGTCAAGTTTAGTTGGCAGAATTGTGTCCGATGGATGAATAAATCAATTAGATATGTTACCAGTTTGATTCCGGAGAAAACTACTGTGTCTGATCCTGTACATTTACCAGATGTAACACCGTTATTATCAAGTACCATCATCCAATATTCAGACACTTCCATGCCTCATTCTACGGTAGATGTTTCCTTAATTGAACGAGATTCTTCAGCGCTCACTGACATTTTAGATAGCTCGTTGCCCACTTACCTCACCGTACCAATATCGTCTACAATTCGTAAAGATTCGTCAGTATGCATACCTTTGTTGATAACTACCAAACCAGAATCATGGGAAGACTCTCTGCTTCAACTCGGGGCCATCCAACCAACTCAAGAATCATGGGAAAATTCTCTTCAACCCACAGTACAATTGCCCGAATCTTGGGAACATTCCTTGCTTCAACTCACCACGCAATTGCCCTGGAAAAATCCCTTTCGAACCATCAAACTAACCCTAGAATCGTGGGACAATTCTCTGCTTCACCTTAATGAATCGTGTGAAGAATCATTGCTGAAGACAATTCAGCCAACGACAGAATCATGGGAAGATTCTCTGCTTCATCTCTCCATCAAGAATATGACACCAGAATCACAGAAACAACCATTGCTGAAGACAATTCAACCAACGACAGAATCCTGGGATTATCTGCTTTGTCACTCCATCAAGAATATAACGCGCGAATCATCGGAACAATCACTCCTGAACCAACGACAGAATCATGGGAAGATTCTCTGCTTCATCGCTCCAGCAAGACTATGACACCAGAATCATTTGGACAATCATTGCTGAAGACAATTCAACCAACGATAGAATCCTGGGAGGATTATCTGCTTCGTCACTCCATCAAGAACATAACGCCAGAATCATTGGAACAATCATTCCTGAAGACCATTCAACCAACCACAGAATCCTGGGAAGATTCTCTACTTCATCTCTTCATCAAGAATATGACACCAGAATCAAGGGGACAATCATTCCTGAAGACCTTTCAGCCAACGACAGAATCATGGGAAGATTTTCTGTTTCATCTCTCGAATACGAATATAACACCAGAATCATGGGGACAATCATTCCCTGCTTCAAAACTGGTAACTCCAGAATCTTGGGACGATTCCTTGCTTCAGATACCCATCAACCCCAACCCAACTCTGGAATCTTGGGACGAATCCTTACTCAATATACTCATTAACCCTACCCCAACTCCAGAATCCAGACGCTTCTTCAGTTAGTGTCGAATCTAGAATCTTGGACAGATTCATTGCTGCACCTTTATCATTAAATAACATCTTGCCCGAATCGTAACAATATGATGGCTAAGTACCTAACTTGTAAAAATCGGCATATACATTAAATAATCCTCTCAATAATGTTCGCATTTTATTTGTATAGAAATACTGTGAATTATGTAACTGTTGTGATCTTGTTTTTTGTAATGTTATTTAATGAGCATGTTTCGTGCCACAATTTAATTGAAACTGGACATAATTCACGGATTTACAACCGGCTAGATAGGACCGTGGTCTGAAATAGCAATGTACGAATTTGTATTTTTGTATTTTTGTATTTTTGTGCTGTATGGTTATATTACATCATTGTAGTGCTGCTTATATATACATATGTAAATATAAATAAGTTAAATGGTATATGTTTTCTATATGGTAGTGCAAATGACACTACTATTCCAAGGGGGAAGCTAGCATAATATTGTCTACGACATGACACTCGTATATCCATAAATAATAAGCCATTTTGTCGAGGGCTACAAACGTACAAATTAAATCATGGAATAACCATGATATCTGATACCACATCAATGGGTTCGCTGTTCAATTTTGTAACAGCAAATTGGAAATAAGAAAAATCAAATATTTGATCTAATTTTTAATGAGCACAATAATACATACATAGCAGCACTTTAATCTGCTCAGTATTAACTTTTTTTGTATGATATCTTAAAAAAGAATTTACCAATATTTCATCATCTTTTTCTATCACACGCTATCAAGTCATCAGATTCCTCCCGACAGGTAGAAAATCAAATGCACTAAATTTTCTACCCAGGATTCTTATCAATAAACAACCACCAGTAATTCCTGTTTTAGTTGTTTATATCATTCTATCTAGTAACTATGACAACAATATCGACGATGATTTCTCGAAATTCCCTCAAAGATCATGCAAATATTTTAATGCTGAACATATTAATAGTTGTGGGTATGATAAAATGATCAGGGGTTAATTCAATATTAAACATTCTTAGAGAATACACATCTATTGATGACGTATTACGTTAAACAAACTGTTCCTATTTAACAGTTGCTGTATATGTGGTCCAAGACTCATTGGATCAACATCAGGACTGAAGCGATGTCTAACCTTCCCTTGCTTGTCAATCAAAAATGTCTCGAAATTCCAGCTGATATCTCCAACTTTAAGTGGTGAATAAAACAAGTCAGATTCGAAAACGTTTGAAGTCTGTTTACAATATTTCTGAAACAAATTTTACAACACGTTAGTATAGAACTTCAGACTCCAAAGTTAGTTTGAGTCGTCGGAACTTGCGTATAATAAGCTAAAAGACGCATCTTTCCGACGAATAAATTATCTATAGCAATACAATTGGAGGTCCTAACCTGAACATGGTTACAGGAATTTTAAAAAGTTCTGCCGTATCAAAAGTAACAATAAAGTGAATGCTCACAGGTCAATAAGGAGGGTTAATCGTTATGCAACTTAATATCTAACCTTCAGATAAGTATACAATGGTTCTTCTGTCTGTCCATTGACTTGTATTTTGTGGAACATCTGAAAGTTTGGAACAAAGCCACCACCAGGACGAACATATTTGACACCATTTAATATTTCTGTTCCATTACCTCCTGGCTCTTGCTGGAAAAAGAATGAATCTTAAATATGTTGGTACTCAGTTTCTATAGCTATTTCCAATACGAATCCGCAATGACATTGTAGCAGAATCTTATCCCCGCCATGTTTTTCCTTGGGGTTCTCTATTTCTATTAACATATTGCTCGACAGTGGCAAAGTCTCCACTAAATTTTATAACACAACATATCATATAATATAGTTATTCAACCTTTACTTACCAGATTAAATTGATTGCAGGGAAATCCTAGAACCTTGAATCCCCTGGCCCCATACATAGTCTGTAGTGCATTTAGACCGTAGTAATGGGGCGTCATTCCTCAGTAAGTAGCAACATTCACTATCAATACTACATCATTCTGGTATTTCTGTAGACTGATATTATGTGCTTCGTGTATATCTGGTATAGTAAAATCATAAATAGATTCTGTTGATGCTGATTGTTGATCACAATCCACAGTAACGCCTAAACTAGCGTGAAGACCTAAACAGATCAACACGGCTAGTTGTAATACCGACTGCATCTCTCAGTAGTAATGACGAATGATATTAAATTTCAGTTATCATATCGAGCTCGGGTTTCACATGATTGCCATTACATACATTATAATCATTATCATAATCTTACATATAATCACTGATAAATATATCGATAGATTATTATTCTTATATAAAACTGATAGCCTTTGAACCCAGTAATACCCTTAGAAATCTTACAGATACGAAAGTAACCCCCTATTATTTTTAAGCCTTAAATTACTCGTACTCCATGCCGAAGAACCGCATCCGACTTAAACATAAGCAATTGCCTGCTTTACAGATGCCATTTCACCCCATTTAGTTATTATACTCAACATTACGATAGCAATATACACTACAGCACCAGACTTTTAGAATTATAACATGAACGACAAATTGATGGTCAGATGCAATGTTCAAGTTTTTATTCTAATGGCATGCGCAGGAAGTTGTGGAAGGAAGGTTGGTCTTCAGTTCTAAGTTCAGCCATCAGCTTGTCATAAACATCAAACTGGTGTCGCCTTCCTACCCAGGGTCTCACCCAGCACTTTCTCCCTCTCCTCTTCCTTTTCTTCTTGGACTCTGCCTTGGACATCTTGACCTAGTGCAATGCCAACTGCATGAGGTCGTTGTGATGCAAGAGAGCAGCAACAGCATACTGGTGTTTCTCTTGGTCTGTCATTCTTCTGAGGTCTTCACTCTTCTGAGTTCCAACAGGACTGGCGGTGGCCTCTGCAAGCCCCTTATATATGGCAAGTGGCTGTCAGACGCTCCTGAACGCTACCAGTAGATTAATAACGCTCGGCGAACGTTGGCCAACGCTGAGAAACGTTGGCGACACGCCGGACAGACGTTCGACGGACGTTACACAGGCGTTACGTAAGCATTACCCAAGCGCTAGTAACGCGATGGACACTCGACCCTGATGGGCCGGCGTCCGCCTAGCGTCCAGGGAACGTCTTAACTTTCGAGTAACGTTCGAATAATGCCCACCAACTTTCGTGTAAAGTTCTTCTAACGTAGCGTTTTGATAGAACGTCGTGAATTTTTGTGCACACCCAAAAATATTTTTCATTCTCAGGGTTCGCCGACGTCCTTCGACGTTCCCCAACGTTTGCCGATGCTCGTCTAACTTTCTTGTAAAATGTTTCTAGCGTTCTCGATGTTCCTCTGCGTTTGACCGCGAATTAGTAAGTTCCGGTCGCCGTAAGATCGCAAATGATCACAGTCCAGTGTGATTTGGCTATTAATTGCGACGTTCAAATATGCATCTCTCTGACAAAATGTTTAATTGTGGTATCGGTGGCCAGTAATTTTCTTATTACCAATTATCTCCCTTAATCTATAATAGAATCATTGTTTCACAATTCAAGCTCAACGTACTATCAACGAAAGCCAATATAAATATTTTAAGGAACTAAAAAAGTTTTGCGGTCTGGCCAAAGAGGGATAGTTCCTAGGTGGCGCTTCATCTTTAGCTTTTGCGCCATCAAGATAAGACCAGACTGTTCTTGAAAAATACATTGGATATTCAATTTTATGTCTTATGCATTGTATGATGGTCATTACGTTGCTTGAATTATAAGCTATTGATATTAGGGCCTTGTTGTATGGATTGACTAGTTCTGTAATGACGATTTCGGTCTTCCCTCATCAAAAGTTCTGTAGCACAGATGGGCCTCTATTTGTAGCCATACTGCATTCCGATTCAGACACATTACAATTATAGCAATGAAAGGGAGTATTTTTCATTTCTGAAATCTGTCGTAGTTTTGTGTTAAACTCTATGGAAATACCAACGAGAGGGACGAACCCAGTTTCAGTGTTTCAGAAGAGTTTCATTGTAATTCGAATCAGTACTTATAGCATATCCTCAGAGCAAAACCCATTCGTCTGTTCATCAGATAATTCCATTGTACAACAAGTTTACCAGAAAACAACATAACATAAAACTGTACGTTTTTTCAAAAAATATATTCAATTCAAATATTTTAGTGTACAGTGTTGTATAAAATTATAGTAGGAATCAAAGCTATTATGTTTGTATCAATTAAAAGCATATCTATGTATATTATTCAGAATTAATGGCAGTAATTAACTGATCCCAGAAAATAATATTTCCTTGAGGATCATCAGTATATTCTATATAAGAATTGTTTTTCATAAAGTTTTGAAGAATATCTGGTATATCTTTCATTCTAACATGTTCATAAACAACTAAAATTATAACATTTCTTCCTGTCTCGAGACTTTCCATGTGAGCCATATTTAATTCATAATTACACCAATAACTAGCTATAAAATTACTGGATAAAATAATCACTGTTTTCTTACTATTTCTTACAGCATTTAAAATATTAGCTGCAATTTCTTCTCCAACCAGAAAATCTCTATGATGAATACAGAGTTGTTTCCCTTGTTGCTCTTCCAGCTTAGTTATCATATCATTAACAACAACACGTCTATCTTCATCAGCATAAGATACAAAGGCATCGAAATCAAAACGGTTTTGAGCTGCTCCACCAATAGCTGAATAGCCACGGAATTTACTTCTTGTTAAATAATATACATATCTTAATTTCCATCGATATTTATACACAAAACTAGCTACAACTATTGTTATGATAAGAGCTATGCTTACAGTTAAAACTATCACCAAAACTGTATGAGAGGCACATTTTATCTGTAAATTGTAGATGATATCGTTTAAATTCGCCATAGATATTTCCTTCGAACCCGAATCAACACAAGTATAGTTATCTCTTCCAATAAAATTTGTTGTGTTCGTATTCATCCAATTTAGAAAGTCTAAATTGCCACAAGTACAAGATAATGTTTGACCTTTCAGATTAATAGATAGAGTTTTATTGGCCTTGTGTTGGTCATCACAGAATTGTCTAAATGATTTGGGAAGAGTTGTAAGAACATTATCAGACAAATCAACCATCTTTAACTGTGTCATATGATTTGTTTTCAAGGTAAAACTACTAATTGTATTACGAGATAAATCTAATTCTTGTAGACGTACTAGATTTTTAAATAATTTGTGTGGCAAGCCCCGAAGTTTGTTATCTGAAATCCTTAGGAGCTTCAGATTGGTCAGATTTTGGAAAATTTCACCATCTTCATCATCATTTATAGCTGTAGCAAGGTAATTTGACGAGATGTTCAATGTTAGGAGAGATGATACATATCTAAACATTTGTTTGCTTACAAAATCACATAAGTTTATACTTAAATCTAACCATTCTAAATGATCTGCACCAGTTATTGGTCCAATCCATCTATGAAGTTCATTACCAGACAAATCTAAAAACTGAATAGTATTGTTGTCTATGTGTAGTTCTGGTACAGCATAACTTAAAGTACTATAACTTACATTTAATAATTTCAAATTTTGAGGTATTTGTATTTTATATCGTACATTTGTTACAATTGCCCCTTTTTTAATATTGTGAGTAGTGATGTCTACACCTTTATGACGTTCTTCGTATTCTTGTACCACATCAGATGTTTGAATTCTCATAGTTCGTACAGCCAACCTTTTCTTTCTCATTGGTAATGTTAAACTCTTTGAAGGAATATGTGACTGAAATTGTCTACTTGCATTCAGTATGGCCAATTGTTTCATGTAAAGGCCAGCCAGTAAATATCGTCCCCATGTTGGTTTGTTGTCGCAAAAACTGACCATAGTTAGATTTTTTGGTAGATAAGTCATAGCTTGAGTATTTACGAGTTCTATTCCGTTGCTGTCTAAAAATAAATGTGTAATTGGTAAATGCTGTATTCGTTGCATATGACTAATAGACAGCTCCAATCCGATCTGGAAAGATTGTTCCAAGGCAGCAAGATTAAGATATGTCAAATCACTGTGAAGATTTTGTAAAGCAATTGTAGCTTTTTCTAAACCCAGTCTAATATTATGAGACAAATCCAAATACTCCAACTGCTTCAGACGACTAAATGCATGAGACTCCAGTCTGTATAGACGACAATTACTTAAGGATAATCTTCTAAGAAAAGGTACATTATAAAAGCTGTGGTTTGTTATACTTTGTGTTTTACAGCTCCCAGCAAACGTTAATGTCTCTAATTTCATTAATTTTGAAAATCTATTTTCTAGTTTCATCTCATATAACCCATCAATACTCAGATCGGAAAGATTTTTAAGATGTCCTAAAGCTTGTTCTGGATAAGCATCAATCGGGTGGTATCTATCAACATTATTCGATATATTTAAAGTTTGTAGATTTATTAATGGTTGAAATACCCCAGTCGGATATCGAGAATCGTTAAGACCGAGTTGATTATTTTGTATGAAGAGAGATTTTAGTTGAGATAATCCAGTGAATGAATCCTTGTATAATTTGAAAATATCGTTGAATGAAATATCCAGGATTTTTAAACTGTGTAAACTATGAAATCTACCATTTGGTATTTCATTTATATGATTGTATGATAAATTCAGTAATTTGGTGTCGGGTGGAATAGTTGAAGGGATGCTTGTCAGGTTCTTGTTATAACAGTTGACTGTCTTAAACGAACAGACACATTTGTTACACAATGGTTCTTCATTCTTCTCTGATGTTGTGAAAGACGGTAATATTAAGATGGCGAAAACAACCAACAGCCTGGAATATATGAAACACAAAATAAAATGTTTTTATTATATTTTAATTTTTTGAATTAGATTGATATCTTCTGAAACAGGTGCCAAAAATTGCCTCTAGTAGCCCCTGCAGCTAGAAACAGAGACTCCCAGAATGACCTGGCCGTTGAAAGGGTTCAGGATGTTCCTCCATAAAACAAGTAGTTGGGGTATAGTGCTCACAATAATAACACATTAATATACAACATCTTCAACCTATTTATAACCGCGAATAAATCTTATACATATTATCGTCTGCTGTGTTAAACGACGTCAAATATATAAGTAGTTTCTATTGGTACAGAGGAAATACATTTTCATTTTCAAATTCCGTCATTACACACTGCATGACGTAGTCCGTCGACAC